TAATATTTCTTTTATTTGAAAACTGATGTTTCATAAGATATATGTATTATCAATATTATTGTTAAATAAAATGCAGTAAAATGGGAAAGTGATGATATTTTTTATCAGTTTAAGTTATTTGAAATTATGAAAAAAGTGGATTTTATTATATCTTTGATGAATTGATAAAAGAAATAGCAATTGGTAATTATTAAATTAATAAAAATGATGATTTATGTATTAAAAATTAATTTGAAAGGTGAAAAAATCATAACAGCTTTTAGCTGGTTTATTAATTTTATCATTAAAGAGGTTGCCTAAATAGACTTTATTTTGTGAAGCTTTATATTTAATTATTATAAGATAATAATATCAAAATAGCAGAACTACAAGTAAGAATTATTAATTTTTAACAAAGGATATATTGAAGATAAAATCTTCAAAAGCAATCTAAATTGTTGTATTATTAAATTATCACTTGGGAATTTGTATGAATAATTATATAACAATTAGATAAAGCAATTAATAATACTATAAATATGGTAGCTAGCTTAACTGTTGAGAAAGAAGAATAGAAAATAACAAATGCAATTAAATAAGAAACCATTGAAAAATTTAGGTGTGTTTGTAGCCAAACTAAACCCATTCTTATTGAAGAGAAACCAAGATTAGATAACAATCTATTGGTAAAAATTCTAAATTAGAGGCTAAGAAAAATTGTTGTGAATAAGTATGATATAGGGATAAATTTATTTATAATACTGAAAGGTGTAGGATGGTAAAAGGGTTCAAAATTAAAGGACAAATCACAAACATGTACGAGGTAAAGGCAATTTCTTGAAGGAATGATAATATTCACAAATAGACAAACTCTTATTTGTGATATAAGCTAATGGCAAACCGGCAAAGTCAATAGGCAGCTGCTACCATTAAGAAGGTTTCCTCTAGCAAAAAGAGAACATGCTCTTGATGTTCAGTCTATTAACTCGTCAGTGATATTAGCAACATCAAACAACCTTATGAGTGGTGGTGGTGATGGTGGCGGCGGCGGTGGTGGTGGTGATGGTGGCGGCGGCGGAGGTAGTGGTGGTGGTGGTGATGGTGGCGGCGGCGGAGGTGATAGTCGTGTTATCGACATTTTGTCAGTCAACTCTGGAAAAATATATTGTAAAGGTGAGTACCAGAAGGAGACGTTCAGTAATTTTAATCAACGACGCAAGGTGTCTGCAAAGTTTCTTAGTTGCTTGGTGTGCAGATACATAGGAAAAGAACTTAAGGAGTGGGTTACAATATGATTTTTATTACAAAGCAAATGGGAGTTACGAACATAGTAAATCATATGATCCGTTACGTGATTTTAATAGCTTACCTCCCAAATGTATTACAACTGTATTACTAAGCAAAAAAATTTTAATCGGTATTTTTTTAATTCCTGTATAAAATTTTGTTCAAAAAATATGAAATTCATTGCTTTTGTATTGTTATCATGCCAAAAAAATTCAAAGGAGAAAACACTAAAGGTATTAATTATTTAATTAATAATTAAAAGATAATTACAACCTTTTTAAACAATTTTTCCTTAATAGTTACCGCGGCAAAGGAACGAAAAACTTTGCATCAAAAAGAGATTAACGCTAAAAAACAAGCCGTAAAAGATCAGAAGGAAGCTGAAGAATGGTCACTTGGTGCAAAAGATGCTTCTAAAAAAGAAGCTCAAAGGCTAAAAAAAGTAAGGCGAGTGATCTTTCTAATTCTGCATTATTCTAAAGATAGTAACCTAATTCGAATTATAGGAAGCTCAATTGGCAAAGAAAAACGAAGCAGCTAAATTATTGGAGCAGGAAGAGAAAGAATTATCAAAACTCAAACCTTTATTAAAGCCAACAAAGAAATCGGGAGAAGATGTATGTTAAATTATTTTTTATGATCTAAATTTTTTGTGCATATATATATATATATATTTATTTATTTATGTATGTAATTTTTAGAAAAAAGCAACCAAAAGGTCTCAGAAAGTTGAACAAGAATCCACAGAACGAAAGGAAATTCCTGTATACTCTGCATCAAATATAGATGATGCTTTGGATTTACTGGCTATTGCCACAGAAACTTCAAGTTCCTCAGGTGGCGGTAAAACGGGATTATCTAATAGCGTACCAATAAGTGCTGCCAACATTGAAAGGCATCCGGAAAGAAGGTTTAAGGTGCGTAGAAGATATTGGTTACGGTCAATAGAAGTCATCCTTATTTATGATATATTATTATAGGCTGCTTTTCGAGCGTATGAGGAACGAGAGTTGGCAAAACTTAAAGAAGAAAATCCTGGATTGCGATATACTCAATTACATAATATTCTTTTCGAGAATTTTAAAGTGAGTTGATTTTATTTTATTTATTTCTTTAAAAAAAAAATTTTAAATGAAAAAAAACTAATTTTCCGTGAACTCTACAAAGAAATCACCAGAGAATCCTTTCAATCAAGCCAATGTTTTGCGACATAATGCTACCAAGGAAGAATCCGATAAGGTGATTGAGGCAGCAAGACAGGATATAGAAAACCGGTTAAGAGTTTAGAATTCTATTGTGAATATTTGTGCGAATTTCATATAAATAGGTATTTAATGTTTTAATTTATTTTCATATCTGTTGTTGAGATCAATTTGGGATGTAAAAATAATTTATTCTTGTTTTTAAAATTTTGGATTATATTTAGTTTCTAATATCAGATGGCTTCTTTTAATTTGCGAAGGAATAATTAATTCTTAAAATTTTGGAACTTTGCAAATATAATCCGAAATTTTACAATGCTATGTTAATGATCTTTTTACCTGAATTATAGACAAAGCAATTACTTGTCAGATCTCTCCAAGTACGATGTGCACTTTATATGCACGTATATAGAAAAATCAGTAAATACAAAATCGACAAAATTGTAGATTATTATATACATTAAATACAAGATGAATTAATAATCAATAAATTTGAAATCCATCAACATTGAATTCACGAATATTGGCCCGATCAGATTTATCTCAATTTTATTTTTCAAAAACTTTATCCAAATAATTACCCACATTTAAATATGACGTTTACATAATTTTATGAACTATTCCATTATATAAGTTTATGTTTGTTCTTATCATTGATATCAATATCTAATATCTGTAGTCACTTATAATCTGTTCTATGTAGTATTCCCAATCAAAGCACCAAGAAATGCTGGTATACTACTATTACAATAAAAAGATTTATTAAAATACTTTTCTAAACCGTTATCGTTTCAAGAGTTGAAAATTGATTTTGTTTAGATTTCATGGTTTTATAAATAGAAAATTATCAAGGATAGTTGTCTATAAGAAACATTATAAAAAGTGAAAATAAAGAAAATAATGGAACTTTCTCGAAATAACCCGAGAAACTTATTTTCCAAATTCAAGGCAAATAGCAAAGTCTGCACAAGTAACAAGCAAAAGCTCACTCCAAAACTATTCTATGAGCTCCCCCCCCCCCCCAAAATATAACTTACCTTTTCAGTTTTCATGACAGTTTTCAGGAAAAAAATAAATAAGAATAAGCATGACGTAATTTACAAATATACTTACTCCGGTTACACTGACATCACAAAATAATGGTTGTGCAATTTAGGATTGTAAAGTCACATATCAAACATTGCAGACACTTTCATTTCTCCATAGTATCCGGGTATTTTGTAATCTAGTGAAAAAAAGGTGTAGTCACTCCCATGATATCGGTAATAAAGCATTGTAAATATTACAATCAAAAGCTGTCAAAAAATCTTTTTGACAGGTTTTTTTGAAAAATTCCCGTTGACACGTAACACCATATTAATTTAAAAATGAGGGTTTTTTTTTTTTTTCCAAACAATAAAAAATTTTACTTAATAGGGTTTGACAAAGATATAATTAAATATTAATAAATATACATCCATCCATTTAAGCAAAATTATACAAATCAGTTTTGGGGGGAGAGAGAAAAAAAAAAATTTTTACGCCATTATTAGTAACAACCAATTGTACATCAATTAATTTCCCTTTGCTTTAATATATATAATTGTTTTGCTGACCCATTAATTCAAACCAATCAAGGAGTTTTTTTTCTTTCGTTCCGTAATCACCAGCAATAAAACAAAAATATCAACCTTTGAGTGACAACATTAGAACATCAAATGTCATCATTCGCATAAAACAATATTATATCATTAAAACAAGGTTTTTTTTTTTTTTTCCTACACAAAAAAAATTATGCATTATTACGAATGTTTATAATCTTACCTAGCATTTATGCTACAAAATAAGGTTTCATGTACATGTGAATGGTTTACGATGTACGTTGACGTCGTATAATAACGGATAGAAATTTTTAGATTATATGTAACGTAAGGATTTTCCTGTATCATCGTTTTTTTTTTATTTTCCCCCCTCTTCTCATAAAATCTGAAAAATTGTTTGAACGTTTGTTTCTTATTATCTCTCAGAGGATCAACAAATTGCGTAAATTGATTAGTTGATTAGAAGAAATGCGCTATCCTTTTTTCTCAAATCAAAGAGACAAAAGGAAAAAAAAATCGTATTGTAAGGGTGGTTTTTTCCCAAAATTACGGAACAATCAAAAAAAAATACTACATTATTGTTCATTCATTTTATCATCTTAAAATAGTAAATTTCCAGTGGGAACATAATGAATCGACTTCTGTCAAATTTGGCATTAAACCGAATTTGGTAATTTGTGGGGAAATTTGAGGGAGGACAAATGAGAATTGTTAACAAAACCGACATGTTTAAGTAAATAAATTGAAATCTTTTTTTTTAAAAATAAACATAACAAGTTTTTTTTTTTTGGTCAATATATTAGATTAAGAATTGAATACAAAGAATGAAAAACTCAAAATGGTTTAAATTAAAAAAATATTTACAATACAAGTGCTCGTCTTTTGAGACCTCCATGTTTTGTATGTGTGAACGTGCGTGAGAACCATATCATATGAGTGCAAATAATCGAAAATGGATGACCTATCAAACAAAAACGTTCAAAAATCTTTATCCAATGTCATGATAATTACGTTTCAGGTTTGTTTACATTCACGCAAGGAAGGCTTATGGAAGGAACTCGAGGAAGATAAATTTCATAAGCAAACAAGTGAACCGGTAAACGTTTCATTGGGCGAAAAAAAAAAATTTCCCATCCACAGCATTAATTAATATCTCGAAAATTTCGGTTAATAAGCATCAATTGAAAAAAAAAAAAGATCTTACCAAACAATTAATATTGCCATAATCGATACATATTTGATCAGGGTTCCCGAGAAATCCCCATCAAGAAATTGATTAATAATAATAATGATAAAAAAAAAGAGTATCTTTTTTGATGCATGTTTGTTTGTTTGTTTCAATGTGAAATATTGTGTGCTGTGCTATGTACACGTTAGTTTCCGAGATAATCGAAAACCACGTCATATATTAAATCTCCAGATATCGGGTGCTAAGCCACTTAGAGTTTTTTCCGCGCCGCCTTATAAACATGGGTTAGAAGGCTGAGTAGGTTATAAGTTTTAAAAAGAGGGACCTCACTTTAAGGTTAAGTGAGTCGTGACGTGATAATGCTTTAAACTGTACCGCGTGAAGTTGATTGTACAGATGAGCTTTTTATCACCCACCCGATCACATCGCACACTCGTAAAATTGAATAGTGACATATTCATTTAATGTACCTTTTTTGTCACGGGCTGAGATGCTGCAAAAGGGATGAGTCATCTTGTAACCTGAGAATATAAAGGTCTTCAAATGCAGGGATGGAATGAGAGAGAAATATTTATCTACACACATATATCTATATAATGATAATGATAATGATAATGATAAACAACGCGTTCTATATCTGATATGTAATCCGACATTGACTGCAGCTTTTTTTACCACATATTATTCTTTCCTTTTGTTCCCTTTATTTAGTTTATCATTCATTTTAATCTTTTTAATCTTTTTTTTTTTTTTTAATTTACCCCGAGAAGATTTA